GCTGCCCATCACCTGCCTGGTCATCTCTCCGGATGACAAGTTCATCTTCTCTGCTTCCAAGGATGGCGCCCTCATCAAATGCAAGTGTTCCCTTGGCGCTGGGACTCACTGTTCCCTAGATGAACCCTTCAGGGACCCTGCAGCAGCAGCACCATGGGCGCCCATGGAGGCAGCTTGGCCCCCAGCCCCTCCAGGGACGTGAACATGCATCGTTTTGGGCTCTGTGGGAGGCTCCCGGGGTGTAACAGCAATGCCTTTCCTGCAGGGGAGGTGGAGAGCGGGAAGAAGCTGTGCGTGGTGCCCGGGGGGAAGAAGGGCACCGAGGAGCGGCACATGGGGCACGCGTCCCACGTCCTCTGCATGGCCATCTCCTCGGATGGCAAATACCTGGTATGAGAGAGAGGGCTGGCGCTGCCTTGTGGGGTGGAGCAGTGGCCATGGGGGGCAGCATCTCATGCTCAGATGGACCTTGCTGGGTTAAAGCAGCCCTTATCCCCACCACAATCAAGAATGGGACCCCCCAAAGCACATGGGGTGGGTGGTGGCCACTGAGGGGCAGGTCTTGGGCATCGCCTGTTCTCTGCCAGGCCACAGGAGACAGGAACAAGCTGATCATGATCTGGGACACGGCCACCTGCAAGCGCCTGCACATCTTCACTGGGCACCGCGACGCCGTCTCGGTGAGTTGGGGGAATCAGCCCTGATGACTGCAGGGCTGGGCAGCCGCGTCCTGCCCTACACCTCTCACAGAATCACAGAATCCCAGAACGTTAGGGATTGGAAGGGACCTCCAAAGCTCATCCAGTCCAATCCCCCTGCCGGAGCAGGAACACCCAGATGAGGTTACACAGGAAGGCGTCCAGGCGGGTTTTGAATGTCTGCAGAGAAGGAGACTCCACAACCTCTCTGGGCAGCCTGGGCCAGGGCTCTGTCACCCTCACTGAGAAGAAGTTTCTTCTCCAATTGAAGTGGAACCTCCTGTGTTCCAGCTTGTGTCCGTTACCCCTTGTCCTATCATTGTTTGTCACCGAGAAGAGCCTGGCTCCATCCTTGTGACACTCACCCTTTAAATATTTATAAACATGAATGAGGTCTCCCCTCAGTCTCCTCTTCTGCAAACTAAAGAGCCCCAGCTCCCTCAGCCGCTCCTCATAAGGGAGATGCTCCACTCCCTTGATCATCTTTGTAGCCCTACGCTGGACTCTCTCCAGCAGTTCCTGTCCTTCTTGAACTGAGGGGCCCAGAACTGGACACAATATTCCAGATGTGATCTCACCAGGGCTCTCATCGTGTATGTCCATCTGTCCACAGGGTCTGTCGTTCCGGAAGGGCACACACCAGCTGTACAGCGCCTCCCACGACCGCTGCGTCAAGGTCTGGAACGTGGCGGAGAACGCGTACATGGAGACCCTGTAAGACCCTGGGGGTGCACCCCGCTGCCACCATGGGATGTGCCAGTGGTCCTGGAGGAGGCAAGGCGGCACAGGGCCGTGCTTACTGCAGCTTTTTGCCATGTCCCTCCTCCAGGTTCGGGCACCAGGATGTCATCACGGGGCTGGACAGCCTGAGCCGGGACTGCTGCGTGACAGCGGGGGGACGGGACGGCACTGTGCGGCTCTGGAAGATCCCTGAGGAATCACAGCTTGTGTTTTGTGGGCACCAGTAGGTCTGGGGCGCGGGGAGAAGGGGGCTGTGGGCAGGGGAATCCAGCTGGGGGGGTGCAGGTGATACGCTGGTGAGCCCTTGTCCCTAAAATTGGGTCCCCAGGCATACTGGTAACTGATGGCAGATGCCCCTTCTCTTCACAGGGGCTCCATCGACTGCATCCAGCTCATCAATGAGGAGCACATGGTGTCGGGCGCTGATGACGGGTGAGCAGGGGGCCGGGATGGTGCTTGGGGTG